AGATCACCTCGCCGGGTATATAGGCCTATTAATAAAGAAATGCTCCGGTGTTTAAAGGGAATAGCCAAAACTCCATCGTGAATGGTTCATCAAGCTCAGAAGGTAAAAACTGCACAGTTCATCACTGACTCCGATAAACTTTAGCTACTTTTATGGTACACTGTAAAAAATATCCGTAAATTAAGAGGTTTTTTTTATTTTTATCCTGTTTATTTATGCTTTTGAATTGCAATATGGGACTTTGATCTTTCTTTTCAACAATTTTAACCATGAAAAGTTAAAAAAAAGTAATTTTTAAAAAAAAAAGTAAAACATTTTTATTAGTTTAAAGTGAATTATTGTCTGGGTTAGTGTTGTATATTACAATACAAAAACCTTTTGACAAACTGCCAGTACATTTTCTGTTATTTTACAGACTAAATATTATTTATTATAGATTATATTATTATTTTAAACCAATAAAATGTCAATAAAAGTCACGTTGAACTGTAGAGTTGAATTTTTCAACATCAAAAGTCGACAGAGCAGATATCAAGATCCCATAATGCAACCGTAAATAGCGAATTACACTTGTGAATTACAAAATAAGGAAACTGTTAGATATGTTTTTTTTACAGTGTGCAGTTTTAATCACATTTTTGGCACAAACACCTACAACTGAAGATCATAACTTTCTGGAGGTTATACCTCATGTTAAATGAATATTTGTTTGACAGTTTAGCCACATTTAAGGTTTCACATCACGTTTCTCGACACCTGAAGGTAAAAACTGCATAGATCATAGGTGGAATAGTTTGAAGTAAACTTTACATTGTGAACAATATCCATAGATTATCAGTTTTCCATAATTTTGTAATTTATAGGTTTTATTTCTTTTATTTTTGCTCTTGAATTGCATTATGGGGCATTGATCTCTTCTCCAACAACTTTTGATGTTGAAAAGTTTGAAAAAGGTTGAAAAATAAAACAATGAACAGAACTTTTTTTGTTATTTTACTAACTAATAAGTTATCTCTATATTATTCATATATATTATATTATTTCAAACTACTAAAATGTCAATAAAAGTCCCTTTGTTAAACTGTAGAGTTGACTTTTCAACATTAAAAGTCGACAGAGATCAACATCCCAAAATGCAATTTATAACAGTAAATAACGAATGACACTTGTGAATCCCAAAATAAGGAAACGAAGAACTGAAGGTCACAGGTCACAATTATCTGAAATAAACTTTACACTGTGAAAAATATCCATACTTTGTCAGTTTTCCGTATTTTGTGATTCATGGGTTTTATTCCTTTTATTTTTGCTCTTGTATTGCATTATGGGGCATTGATCTCTTCTCCAACAACTTTTCAATTCAAATAAGCGTCATTGTCTATCCCACAGAGGTTAAAAAATTGTCTTTGGGCTCACACACAACAACAAAACATAAATACACTTACACAATTATTTTAAAAATCCTATTTAAAAAAACAATGGCAATGGGAATAAATGTCTTCTTGTAGTTAGCCTTTTTTGCTAAAGGGACTTTATATCGTCTACCAGACGGAAGTAACTTAAAGGAACCATGTAAAGAGTCTTCCACAATAGTGGAGGTTTTTCTTTCTATCGCTGCTATAAATAAATCAATGAGAGGTGTTTGTCTCTCACCAATTATTTTACTTGTTAAGTTTACCAAACTTAAAAGTTAATTTGTGCTTTTAACAGAGAGGGAATTAAACCAGGCTACAATATTAAAAGTAAGGACAGACTCAATAAGTGATTTATATCAACAATCAAAATACCGTTATTAGAACTTCTCAGTTTTCTCAACAAACTCCACCACTGCTCAGCCTTCTTAAAAACGTTCTCTGAATCAAAAGAGGATTGCAAGTCAATTTCCACACCTATATATTTAAAAAAAACTTAACTTACTCTTCATAAATTAGCAAAGGGTAACAAAATGTACATATTTTGTTTGTCCCACAACACATTTCTTTTGTCTAACAAATGTTAAGCTGCAAGGAATTCTCTGTTGTCTAACTTGTGATAGCGATTTTTTTGGACGTTGAAAAGTTTGAAAAAGTGAGTTTTATTTACGTTTTTAATAGTTTAAAGTGATATATCATCTGGGTTTGTGTTACAAATTACAGAACAAAAACCTGGTAATAAACCGTCAGTATACTTTTTTTGTTATTTTACAGAATAATAATTTCTTTCTTTATTATTTTGTATATAATATATTGTTTTAAACTACTAACATGTCAATAAATGTCACTTCGTAAACTGTAGAGTTGAATTTTCAACATCAAATGTTAATAGAGCAGAAATCAATCTCCCATAATGCAATTGCCATTAAACGCATGTAAATCACAAAATATGGAACATTTTAATGTGCAGATATTTCTTTTACAGTGTAGCTACTTACTTTTAAGGTAGTTTCAACCACTATGTTGGCATATAGGTTACATTTTTCATAAAGAAAAGACCTACACCATGAAGATGACAACTTTTTCGTGGTTGTGCTGCATATTAAACGGGTATTTGTTTTACAGTTTAGCCATATTTAAGGTTATGATCTCAACATCAGAAGGTGAAAAACAAATGTGGGATTGTCTTTAGCTACATTTAGGTTACAGTTTTACACTATCAATCAGGCAAATACCTCAAATCTTAAGATCACAACTTTTAGGACCCTCTGATAGAGGATCAGGGGCTTGTGTTGCATATTTAACAGGCATTTCTTTTACAGTTTAGCCACATTTAAGGTTTCACATTGTGTTTCTTTACCTTTTCCTGAGGATTCTTCTTAGTCCCTCTGGTTTATTTTTCTGAAGATGGCCCATTACTGACTGCTTTCACTCTTGAAAAACTAGGTGTGTTCTCAATAACAGTCTAGTATGATAGTGGATTTGTACATATGAACTGTACTCATGTTAAATTAGTGTATATACAATATATTTATTATAATAAATGAAGTAAATGATGCTTGTGTTTTGTCTGGGTTTTGTCTAGGCTGCTATGCACCTTATGAAACAAAAATAGGAGGTAACATGAAAAATGACAATAATACTTATGTGTGTAGTTGTGTTAATAATGAAACCACATTTTTGTCTTACTTAATAAACTACTGATGCAATTTCTTCCGAATTTAAAACAAAAAGTGTTGTTTTGTTAGCAAAAAATAAGGTAAGATGGCATGTTTTTAAACGTCACTGTTAGACTTTTTATTGTGTTTTTGCGGTAACTTACTGGCAAGCAGTGTTGCCATCAAATTAACGCAGCTGCCCCTTTACAGTAATTTACATGTAAATGTGATTTAAAGTAGCAGGACCCTACCGCAATGTCATTTTACAGTAATATAGGCTTAGCGCAACTTCTTTTTATGGTAAAGAGCTCTTCACCACATTTTAATTTTACAGTTTGACAATTTTTACTGTACTTTTAATGTAATTTATTTAGATTTACACTAACAGTTAAGCATGGGCCGGTATAAGATTGTAATGGTTTGATAACTTTGGAGAAAAATATCACAGTTGCACGGTATTGTGATTACTGCTGTAAAATATGTTTTTTTTTTTTTTTAATGTTTGGGTAAAAACAACATTTCTCCCTATTGAACGCGATATATTTTATTTTAAAAAAAACATTTAAAATAGTTTGGAAAAGTAGCTTTTGATGTGGAGGATCCTGCTGGAAATACTATTGCTCTAAAAAACTAAATTAAATAAATGCAAAAAAAATTATAACACAAAAATCCTGGCCATTCTAAAACCTTGACGTTTCTAAACCGCAGTAAACCTTGAAAGAGGTTATCGTCCCATGCCTACTAGCAGTACAAACGTTAGTATTCACTATTGACTTTAATTCCAAACAAGTGACGAGGTCACGTACAACAGTATTTTTGATTATTTAGTGCTGTTGTATCCATTTCAAATGGTTTACAAATGTAATTTTCATTCATCAATCTATTTAAATACATTATGTGATAAAATATGTTAATTAATATAACTTTTGTCATATTTGTCTTCAAATATAGTAGCGGTACTTAATTATTTTGATTACAGTAGAATACTTCAAATTCTTAAAATGCATTAATTCACTGTAAAAGTTTTAAAATGACCAACAGGGTAGTGCATATTACAGTAGTGAACTGTAAAAAAATGTATGTGGTATTTTACTGTGTACTTTTGCAGTAAATAGCTGTAAAATTGCAGCAAAGTCCCAAATGATGTTTATATTCATTTATATCAGCTCTTTACCAATATTTAAATTTCAAAAGAGATAAGAAATCAATTGTACAATATTAAATAACACCGATATTAATCACAAAGTATCTGAAAAAAACGTGTTCTGAAAATAAAAATTTTAATGACAGGATTTTTATATGAAATTTGGAAGAAACGCTATCAGAAATGTAAACAAACATTTATCATTTTACCCAAAATTATGCATAAAGTGAAAACATGTTTCTATTTTTTCCATAGCTGTATGTTAAAAACTTGGCCTAATAATGTCTTCTAGCACCTTGAGTGTATAAGCATCTTCAAATTCAATAACTTCACTTAAACATATAGAGAGATAAATCTCTGCTGTCTGTCTGGCACTTTAGAAAACCACATTAGCTTTGATTATTCTTATGCAACCAGTTCTTGAGTGAAGATTTATTTAGTTGTTATTTTAAAATTCTGATCTCCTTAGTTTATTTTCAGACTTCAGGATTAAGTCCTTCATTCTCAGCTAATTAAAGGGGTATTTATAGAAGATTTCAGAATCCTATTTACTTGACTAGTCGTCGCTCTGGCAGAGACCAATCGTATTTTTTGACTTTTAATGTGATTAACAGTTAGTCCTATTTGAGCTAAAGGAAGATTTGCGCTGAGCTGCTTCTTTCACTGCTAATATTGTGTCTGAAATGGTGAGAAGATAAGGACTAACATACAAATTAAAGGGATGGTTTAACCAAAAAAATCTAAATTTATCCACTATTTAGGGATTCCAAACCTTTATTGAACACCAAATACACTCAGAAATGCTGTTTGCTCAAACTACTTATTTAAAATGAGCTCAATCAACTTAATTCTTGAGGGTTTTTGGGGACAACTTAATTGTTTTATGTTTGTAATAACAATAAAGGTAAATTAATCGATTTGTGTTAGGACAACATGAAGGAATTGTGTGGAATCCTGCAGTTTTTGCAGATATTTTTGCAGAAAGCTGAAAACCTGTTAAGGGGGGACATAGTAGCTCAGTGGTTGGCACTGTCAACTCACAGCCAGAAGGTCACTGGTTCAAGTCCTTGCTGGGTCAGTTGAAGGGAATAAATTTAATTGGCCATAGTGGATGTGTGTGAATGAGTGTGTATGGATGTTTTCCAGTACTGGGTTGCAGCTTGAAGAGCATCTGTTGTGTAAAACACATATTGGATAATTTGGCGGTTCATTCCGCTGTGGTGACCCTTGATGAATAAAAGGAATAAGCAGAAGGAAAATGATTGAATAAAAACCTGCTGACTTCCGTAGTAGGAAAAACAAATACTATGGAAGTCAATGGTTACAGGTTTCCAACATTTTTCTCGAACATTTTTCAAAGTATCTTCTTTTGTGTTTTATAGAAGAAAGCAACACTCATTAAAGATTTGAAACAAGTAAAGGGTGAGTGAATAAATCTATATTTGTTTTGGTGAACTGTCTCTTTAACCGCTAGACAGGTGCATGGAAAATGTACTAAGACATTTTCCATAATGTTGAAACTAACTAAACTTACTTTAATCAACATTGTCATCTCTTCTAACAGTATAACTAGCTTTTACTTAAGTCTGATCGATTAATTAGTCTCCCTGCTGTGCCGTGTGACTCAGGAGCCCATAATGATTGGAACAACTGCTTGTTAACTGGCGCCCTAGAATGGAGCATCAGGTAAGAAAATCGATGCCATTTAAAGGCCAAGTTACATATCCAGCAGTTATCTAACATTCATTAGGAAAGACCGAGAGCCAACTGAAACTGCTGCAATGTTTGTGTGTGTGTATAGGCAACACATTAGTTTCTTTTTCACTGTGGTCAGTCAACAAATGTGCCAAAGGTGAACCGTTTTGAAAGTCACAACTGATTTACTTCAATATGTACATATTTGTACCTCTGCCGAGCTAGTGCAGTTCCCATTCTGATAACCTTCCGGTGACCTGTTATTATGATTTTTTATCCATTTTATAAGGTTCCATTAACAGCATCGATGTTGTAATATCATTAAAATACATTCAGTTAAATAAACTTTGGCATTCATTTAGTTGCTCAAGCGTAAAACGAGACAAAAAATTTTACCCGCACGCGCCAGTCAGAATTAGCAGGCTAGCGCTGAAGCTCCACTGAATATACTGAGGTAAAATAAATGCTCATATTACAAAGACATGGCAGGGGAAAATGTAATTTAATGCAGTGCTTCTTGTACAATCTGAGACCCACTTTATATCGGATATCACTCAGCTAGTGGAGATCGCTGATTTTTAAAGAAAGCAGACCTTAAACATGCCGGTTTTTGCATTAGCATACAGTTCGCTGGAAGCGCTTAACCCAGGTTACTAGCAAATTAAAAGTCCCATTAGCATGCTTCGGCATATACCTTATTATGCTCCTTTTTCAAGTCTCTGATGTCCCCTTAATATGTGTATGTGAAGTTTCAGCTCAAAATACAACATATTTTTGGATTACTCGTTGAAACTGATCCTTTTTGGGTTTGATCCATATTGTGGCATTTTGGTGATGCTTTAAACTGATTGTGCTCTTTTCAAAAGAGGGCAAACGGCTGCTTCTCACTCAGGGCTGTTTATGCTAATGAGTGAGAGATCATCACTGATGGGCGGGGTTTTTCCCTCTCTGATTACACATACAAAGGGAGAATGTCAATCAAAGTGTTTCTGCAGACTGTTTTTATTATAAATAAATAGAATGAATTTATTTTAATCATTAGAGGATGTGTATTTTCATACTCTGTGGCCACCAAACTCTTTAAATCTCTTATAAAAGTGTTTTGTGCATAATAGGTCCTCTTTAATGATGAAGAAAGTATTTAAACAATTGTAGCTTATTGCCAGTGCTATTTGTTGTCTTTGTATACACACTAAACTCCGTCTTTTGGATGAGATGTTAAACCAAAGTTCTGACTCTCTGTTGTCATTAAAAAAACCATGGCACTACTCATAAAGAGTAGAGGTGTTACTCTGGTGTTCTGGCCAAATTTCCTTCATTGGCTCTGACCCATCATGGCCTCCCAAACATCCCTATCCACTGAATTGGCTGTACCACTGTCTCTCCATTCCACCTATAGCCATTGCACTCATTCATTTATTCATTTTCAGCTTAGTCCCTTTATTAATTAGGGGTCGTCACAGCGGAATGAACTGCCAACTTATCCAGCATATGTTTTGCCCTTAAAGCTGCAACCTATCATTGGGAAACATCCATACACACTCATTCACACACACTATATACAATTAAGCTTACCCAATTCACCTATAGCGCATGTCTTTGGGCTGTGTGGAAAACCTGGGCACCAAGAGGAAACCCATGAAAACACGGGGAGAGCATACAAACTCCACACTGAAATGCCAACTGGCCCAACTGGGACTCGAACCTGTGACCTTGCTGTGAGGCGACAGCGCTACCCACTGCGCCACCGCGCTGCCTATATATATTGCATAAATATAATAAATGCCATCATTGGAGATGATTATCTAATATTAGATTTCATAAAATATGGTGTCTATTTCGATCTCAGCATGCACTTTACTAATTAACTTCACACTTTTGTCAAGTAAGCACAATCTTCATTCCTGCAAATGGTTTGTTTGAAGACAAAAAAAAAAAAAAACAGGAAAATTACAAATAACCTGAGAAAACAAGACATGCACATTTGTGGAAAATACCGCTTTTTAAACCTTAAATAAATTAATTTGTCATTCTGCTGCTTGGCAAATCTTAAACAATTTAGTGTTTCTGGATGAAACTTTTACACTCAAAAGCATTATATTATGCTGGCCTGCCACCTAGTGTATAAATGAAAAATAGTGGACACTTAACAGAGACTGAACTGGATGATCAATTCCAGCTTCAGCAAATGTGAACATTTCATTAATTTAGCTCCCTTAATATTTTCTTAAGCTCCCTTGTATTTTATTTTAACTTAATTGTATTATCTTGTAGATAGTAGTTACTTGCTGAAATGAGGTTTTGTCTTTTGTTTATACTTATCACTTGGTTGAACTTATTTTAACCCTAAAAAAATAAGAAAAATAAATGAAAATCAGTTTGATATTTAAGTGATTAGTGTTTCTAAAACTTGCACACACACACACACACACACACACACACACACACACACACACACACACACACACACACACACACACACACCACACACACACACACACACACACACACACACATATATATATATATATATATATATATATATATATATATATATATATATATATATATTAGTTTTGTTTGAATTACAGAATAAAATACATAAAAAATTAAGACTTAAATTAAATTAAAAATATATAAAACATAAGTAAAAAAAAACGTATGAAATGTTGAAACATCCCGAATCCAACAAATAGTAAAATATGTGAAAATAATGCCAAAAAAATTACATAAATTCAAATAATAACTGTACATAATTATTTAAGGCAATAAGTATTTTTTGTGTAAGGGCCATTTATATTGCATTAATTTAAAACTTGTGTTAATAATACTATTATGCTGGGCAAATAAGCATGAATCTATTCATTCTTTTTTTATGCATATTTAGTTATATTTCTTTTAAATTTCAAATTCTCCTATTTCTAGGGCAGCACGGTGGTGCAGCGGGTAGCACAATCGCCTCGCAGCAAGAAGGTCACAGGTTTGAGCCCTGGCTGGGTCAGTTGGTATTTCTGTTTAGAGTTTGCATGTTCTCCCTGTGTTTGCATGGGTTTCCTCCGGGTACTCCAGTTTCCCCCATAAATTTAAAAAACATGCGCTATAAGTGAATTAGGAAATTGGGTAGGCTAAATGGTCCATAGTGTGTGTGTGAATGAGAGTGTATGAATGTTTTCCAGTGATGGGCTGCAACTTGAAGGGCATCCGCTGCATAAAAACATATGCTGGATAAATTAGCGGATCATTCCGCTGTGGCGACCCCAGCTTAATAATGGGACTAAGCCGAAAAATAATGAATGAATTAATTCATGTATTTCTAATATGCATTCTAATTCTAAAATGCAGTCTGTATAGCATTTTCCCATGTACAATAAAACGTGTTATATGGATTTAAGATGTACATTGCAATTCTATACAGTGATGTAAAAAATTTGGTTTGACAACCAAATACACTTTAGAGGCTTTTTTAGTGGAGAATGTAGTTGTTTAGATTGCAAATATGCAGTTTATTTGCAAGAATAGTGCCTATTTTAAAATATTTATAATTTTTAAGACACAGCTCGTCGGCGACAATTGACGTTTTCTATCCACAAGATGGCGACAGAACCGCATAATAAGCCCTTACACTTAGAAGATAAAACAGTCTGATTTCTAACAATAGCAGATCAAATCAATATTAAACTGGTAAGCACACCTGCCAACACTTCCGTTTTTCATGGGAGTATCCCGTATTTTAGACCAGTCTCCCGCAAACATCCTGTTTTTATTTCTTTCTAAAAAAACTCCCGTAACTTCACCCACCCCTCTCTTTGGTAAAGTCTGTAAACAAAACACCCCCGGGTTGGCAACTTTGGTACAGTACCCAAATGAAGCGGCTGCCCAAAACCCACCTATATGCACACCTCCCATCAGTGCTGATATACAGCCATATCGCACTGCTACTTGTGTGATATTGCTCATTTATATATATATATATATATATATATACACACAAATTCTAATTGAGTTGGCTTAATGCAATTCTACCATGTAGATATTTCTAATGCCACTGGAATTAATACTTGTTTTAATTCAATAATGCAGTTCTTTAATATGTGTATTTCTAATGCATGTTATTTCTAATCCTATTCGGAAAATGCTTTTGGTGGATGAGAAAAACAATACAGTAGGTATGTTCATTCCCTCTTTTATTAACAATGTTTTAAACTTTTTTTTTATTTATCTTTTTTTAATGCTTATTTATATATATATATTTCATTTGGCATCAACAATCAAAAAAGTGCAATGCAAAGATGCATCCAAAACAGTGATTTATGGTTATATTTGAAAGAAATGTGATCAAACAGAAGACGTTTTTCAAAGCCAGAATCTTCCCTGTGAGAGCAAAGTAAGAGGAAGTCATTTTGAAGTGCGATCCATTAAATCTCATCTGATTTAAGTGGCCGATATTTGATTTGGGCTCTCCTGCTTCTGTATATGAGAACTGCACACACCATGCCAACAGCTGCCAGGAGACATCCAGCAATGAAAACCAGATTCAGGTTCAAAACTGTAGAGGACACTGCGGAAAACACACAGAGGAGATGGTTAACTGATGGGCTGGATCATATATGGTTAAAGTGCAATTAAAAGGCATAACTAATTAGGCAAGTTTGGGTAATTAGGCAAATCGTATAGAACTATGATTTATTTGTAGACAATAGAAAAACTATTGCTTAAGTGGGCTGATAAAATTGACGTTAAATAAAAAAAAAAAAAAAACTGCTTTTATTCTAAAGACTTTCTCTAGAAGAAAAAATATTATCGTGAATACTGTGAAAAATTTCTTACTTTGTTAAACATCATTTAGGAAATATGTGAAAAAGAAATTCATACTTTTGACTTCAACTGTTTTACCTTCATGCTGTACACTCCTTTTCAGCCGCAGGGGTCCCTGGGAGATGAAGTGACTGCTGGTCTGGATGGGGGCGTCTCTTTTGTCGATGTGGTGTGAAGGTGGAGCGGTGGTGCTGTTAATGCAGCCCTGAGAGCAGCGACTGTTGGGATTGTTCGCCTCGCACATAATCACCGAACAGCTGATAAACACCTACAGAGAATGAGAGAGATGATGTCACTGGTTCGCACTGTCGCCTCAAAGCAAGAACACTCAAAACACTATTTTTGACACGTTCAGACTATTTATTTAAAATGAGCTGAATCCACATAATTTTTGAGGGTTTTTTGGGAAAACATAATTGTTTTATGTGCAATCCACTTAAATTCGTAAAAACCAAAGTTAACCTAATCGATCTGTGTAGGGACAAGATGAAGGAACTGTGTGGAACCCAGAATTTTTTTTATAGTAAAGGTTGCTGGTGCACTGGTTGAATTCCGTCTTGGTCAGTTGGCATTTCTGTGTAGAATTGGCATATATTGCCCATGTTCATGTGGGTTTCCTTCAGGTGTTCCATTTTCCCCCCACAGTTCAAAGACAGGTGAACTGGATTAACTAAATTGGCCATAATCAATGTGTTTGGAATTGATAGAGGGTTTGGGTGTTTCCCAGCACTAGGGATTCGAGTTCAAAGAATGTGAAGGGAAAGTGAGTGAATGATTCTGATTGGTTAGTATTGGCATTGTGTTTTTGCATGTTGCTTGCTAGGTGTGTTTATTGTAGTGGAATCGATACTTGTACCTGTTGATGCAATCCGATGAACTGGAAGGCCTGCATGCTGAAGCGGATCATTGGTTGATGGCTTGTGTACAACTCAAGTGTGTCATCCAGGATGCACCTGAAGAGTGTAATTGATGGAGATATGACAGGTGTAAATACAGAGGGTGGGGCTTTCTTTGTGTGCATCATTCCCTCATAGCAGACTAAAGGTAAGAGAGGGAATATTGTTAATGATACCAACAAACTAACATCAGAAAAATTCCACCAACCCCCACGTGGAAGCATATATAAAAAATAGCTTAAACCACCCTAGGCTGGTTGGCTGATTTTAGCTGGTCAACCAGCCTGGTTTTAGAAGGGTTTTGGCCATTTTTAGGCTGTTTTCCAGCCATTTCCAGCCTGGTCTCAGCTGGTCAGACTGGGAACTGAACAGCTAAAATCACCTTGACCAGCCTGGAATAAGCTTGACATAGATCAGGGGTGTCCAAACTCGGTCCTGAAGGGCCGGTGTCCTGGAGAGTTTAGCTCCAACCCTAATCAAACACACCTGAAGCAGCTAATCAAGCTCTTGAGCTGCGGTCACACTGGGCTTTTCCTCCCATAGACTTCCATTCATACGCACGCAAATGCGTCAGACCGGAAACGCAGGGTCATATGTCAAGTTTCGGAGGTTGCTGCGGTGCAAAGTTCAAGCTTGGTGAACTCTGGTCTGCGAAATCGCATCACTTGACTGTGTGAGACCAATCGAGGATCAAAACATAACCTCTCTGGACAGAAATTTAAAACATGGAGCAATCGCTCGCTTTTTTTAAAGTCTAATAAGCTTGTTTAATCCTGTCCCTTTTCGCAGCGCCGCAAGACAGAATATTGCATGCTCAAACTCTAATGTGACCACAGCTTAACTAGATATTCTAGAATCTTCCAGCAGGTGTGTTGAAGAAGTTGGAGCTAAACTCAGCAGGACACCGGCCCTCCAGGACTGAGTTTGGACACCCCTGACATAGATGGTTTTGGTTGGTCATCTCCCAACCTAACCAGCTAAGACCTGGCTGGGAATGGCTAGAAACCAGCCTGGAAATGGCCAAAACCCCTCTAAAACAAGCTGGTCGACCAGCTAAAACCAGCCAACTGGTTTAGGGCAGGTTTAAGCTGTTTTTTTTTTTTTTTTATATCAACAGAGTACTCAGAATTTGATGGAAAATTACCAAAACAAACATTTTCCCCAGTGCTTTAAAGGTGCCCTTATGAAAATCTGGGTACATCAGAGCACAGTAGAATAATAATATATCATTATATGGAAATGAGCATACTGTGAGCCTCAGACACCACTGTTTTCTTGTTCTCATGTAAATTCCACAAGTGTAAAACCCCGGTAGACAACGGGCCAGACTCACGGGCCAAACTGTGACCAGACTCACGGCCTTTCCCCTGTCCAGCAGTCATGCCATCAAGTTTTGATATAATAAAAAAAACTCTGAGATCATTAATATGCATGCCTAATGCTGCGTTTGATAAGCAACAACCTTTTCTAGTGACACAACAGTGATCATTTTTATCCCTTCGGTATTGTAAGCGTTTATTTCGTTTACTATGTATGTTGGACTTTTATTTTGAAAACTGGAGCGCCGATTTATTTACTGTGCGTTACTGGGCAACGACTGCACGAGGCACGTTCAAACTGTCCTCAGGACCCAAAATGCAAGATTTACACTTTACACATTTATTCATCTCCACTCTGAAGAGGCATGAGGTATGTTTAATTATATATTTTGTCAATTCTTTTTGTTTGTTGTGAAATTGTATGCGTATGTTATAACAAACACATGTAAGTTAATGTTAGAATCTGAACCATGTCGGCTTAACTGTCATCTGTTCATGCAGAGGTTGGTTTTGTTTTGCTTGTGTTTTCTTTGACTAAAGCTATAAATTACAACTTTATATCTCTCTATCACTCTCTTTTGTGAAGTTTAATTATAATTTGGCCTTTATCCACAACAGATCTGGTGAGCAAATAGGCTAAACGTCACTCTGATTGGGTTTACGTTAACGTTATATTCGTCCGTGTTCAGCGTACATCATGCTGTGGTAAGAGCGGCACTTCAGGGCTGCAGGGTTGCCAGATATAGCTGACTTTTTCCAGCCCAAAAGCTATCCAAAACACACAAAACGGCCAAAATATTTGATTAATATTTAATGTAATTTTAATTTATTCAAATCAAAACTAACCTAGTAACACCAGCAGTCACAGAACCACAGAAAATTCGCATCCGATTTGAGCTGCGGATTCGTTAAAATATTTTAACGACTAGACCGTATGCGACAAATCTGAATGGATGTGATATTTTCCAGTGTTGTCCAAGCAGGTCCATGCGCGCGAGATGAGAAATTGTAATTTTTTGTTATTTTTTGAATCAGAAAAAGTCTATATTTAAAAAAAAACTCTATTCATAAATGAGTAACAAATAATAATAATAAAAAAATTCTTAATTTTTAAATCTTTTTTTACTATAATTTAGTCTCCACATTCCCTCCAAAAATGTTAGCAGTCTATGAGTTTCTAGTATTCATTAATTAATTCAACCATGGTGAACGCACAGCGAATAAAGGCTCTTGCTTTCGCACTCCTTCATTTCGGACACCGACAAAACTGAATATCCTGTACGACTGCCACAAGGGGGCGTATTATGTATGAAGGCGGCTTAATACATTAGCTTATAAAACCATTTCTGGAGATTTTTTAAACTTACTGAAGCCATAAATCTACTAGATGTCAATGAACAATTTAGCTTATTAAACTAATGCACCTTTAACTTTGCACAGATTAATGCTTCACCTAAAGAATAACAATGTGCGCTAGCAAAAAAAACATTGCAAATTTTGATTTCACAAAGGCTTTAAAACACCTCAGATCACAGGAAAATCGGATAAGCTAGTCTTTAAAACCACCAAGAATTTTAGGACATTTCATAGCCTGTCGGAAGGGAAGAAATCAGGTCAAAGTCAGCACAATTAACTTCTTGTGTGCGCCCAGCGCTAATTTGTATCTGCAGCTCAATCAATTGATCTTACCCGTCCTGGATGATTGTGTAGTGCGTTTGATAGTCGGGGTCATTGTAAGGTGTCGCCACGCAAGATTCAACGAAGAGCTCGGTGTTGTTGATTGAAGACTGGGATTCAATCTGCATGTAAATCCTCTCTCCAAGCTCATATTCGGCTGCGTACGCGGTCACGTCTAATTCTCTGTAGTAGGCTGGTGTTTGGAAGAGTCCAAAGCTGTAGGTGAGGGTGCCGAAGCCTTTCTCTGTGACGGTGGTCCTGTGTCTTATTGCGGTGAACTCCAGTGCTATGTTATTTTTCTTCTCGTAACGGCAGGAGACCTCAATCTCCACCTCGTGTTTTCTGGTAATGATGCTGTGTGGGTCATCGGTTGAGATAATTTCGTTCTTGAAAATGATGTACTGCTCATCTTCCTGTAGAAGAATGTAGAAGTGTGAAATGTTATTTGTGTGAATGTGGCTTAGGGCTCTATTTTACCCATCTAAGCCAGAGTCTAAAGCACATGCCTTAAAAGCATTAAGGCATGTCTGAATTAACTTTTGCTATTTTAAGGATAAACACAGTTGTGCTTATTCTCGTAATGAGATATGGGTGTGTTTTGAGCATAACGTGCATTAAACCAATCAGAATCTCATCTCCCGTTCCCTTTAACAGTCAGTTGCATCATGCCATGGCACATTTGCTATTTACATGGTGGACTTTGTAAGTTGAAAAACTAAACGCTTCACTAGCAACAAAACAGTTAAACAGAGGATCTGCAGCACGAGAATAAAGAACAAGCCTCCTCCATTCGGCCTCTTTACTTTCTCTTTACTTTACTTCTTACTTTACTCCTTTACTTTCATGGATAAGGAAATGGTGGAAACTCACTCCACTAAAGACATCCATTAGCCAACATATTTAATTTCATTTGCTAAGCGCAAAGATTTGTTTCAAAACTATTTCTGAATTCAGTTATAATTTTCAGCAACCGAATAATTAAACAATGATAACAAAGTGTGGTTATATCCAAACACACGTCCTATTTTTATACCCATATAGTGATGCAGACATCTCCAAAACTCGACAGGTAGACAAATCTAAACTTGTTTTTAATAAAGCAAATATAAATATGCACATAATAAATAATACTGCTAATAATAATCACATTATACAGATGCAAATTGTCATGAACAAACTGAAAAAAACTGCGCCAGCTGTATGATTTACAGAAACATTCCATTAAAGAAACACTTCTATTTGCGGGGGGTGGGGGTGGGGGACTCATTTTACAATTCACCTAGAGTTAAAAATTCGAGTTTTACCATTTTTTTAAATCAATTGAGCTGAGCTGAGGTCTGGCACTTTTAGCTCATCTTAGCATGAATCATCAAATCAGGTTAGACCATTAGCATCTTGCTCAACTGACCAATGGGTTTGCATAATTTTCCAATTTTAAAGTTTCATTTGAATATTTTCATTCTGTTTTTGTTATTTTCCATAATTTTGAGAAATTTTTATTAGTGTGTTTATAATTTTGTACCATATGGCTTTGGTATTGAGAATAGCATCTCACTCAAAAAAAGCGTTACACTTCAATAGGTATATTGTGTGTTAAGGTAGGTGGAAAATGAAAAGTTGGCTAGGAACTATACTCTCATTCTATAAACATTTAAATTTAAAAAATTTTGGAATTTGGATTTTGGAATGTAATATGTGGCAGCACGGTGGCACAGTGGATAGCGCTGTCACCTCACAGTCCACAGACACGGGCTATAGGTAAATTGGGAAAGCTAAATTGCTCGTAGTGTATGTGTGTGAATGAGAGTGTATGGGTGTTTCCCAGAGATGGGTTGCAGCTGGAAGGGCATTTGCTGCGTAAAACATGTGTTGGAAAAGTTGGCGGTTCATTCCAGTGTGGCAACCCCTGATTGATAAAGGGACTAAGCCAAAAAGAAAATGAATGAATGAACGAATGTAATATGCAAAACAGCAGTAGAATATGTAAAATGGCAATGCATTTCTGTATTTATTTTAGCATTTTCAATTAAATATGTTACAAATTTCCAGCAAAAGCTAAATGAAAATAAAATTATAGAATTTAAAATATTGAAATTTACAATTATAGTTTTATTTTAAGGAGTTATAATTAAAATGTTTAAGTTATTCAATTATGCCGGCTTAAATCATCATCAGTTATTTAACGAATCAATTTTGGGTAATTTGGTCCTCCATATGAAAATAGTAAATATAAATTATATATTTTAATTTTCCATTTGCACCAAACTGCTCCTAAGTGAGGGAAAAATGCTAATTTCAATACAGAAATACACTGCCATTTTACATATTTCATTGCTGCTTTGCATATTAGATTTCAAAATGAATTCAGCTATTCATGTGGCTTCATAATGTTTTGTTTTGTGGTAAATTGAATATGGGCTTGAAAGATAACTGGACTCAAAAAAAATGTTTGCAGTTTGTTCAAACTAATTATTTAAAATAAGCTGAAAAAGCACAATCCTTGAGGACAACTTAATTGTCTTATGTTCAATCCACTTAAATTTGTAAAACCTAATAAGCAAACTTAATTCCTTCCTGTTGTCTCAACACAAAATTGATTGTGTGGAACCCAGCATTTTTTTTTTTCCATGGAAGATTAAATAATGACAAATGTTTATTTTTGTTAACTTCTTTTTTGGACCCTGTGAGAAAATTACCTCAATCAAGGTGCCACAAGCATTGAGGGAGAAGTTCGCCAGCACATGAGTGCCGTTTGAGTCCAAAGTGCAGGCAGGATTGTTGAGTCGCAGATAGTCTTTATGGAGTCCAACAGAGTTCATCTGCTCAATTTCAACGACCATGTTGGTTCCGGTGCAGATCACATTCGCATCCACTGTAAATTCAATCAATCATTCAAACAAATTACCAAAAGTATGCTTTGTTTTTGCCTGCTAAACAGTTCTCAGTCAGTATAGACCCTTTCACACAGTGATACCGATAAATATATGGAAAATTTCCGGAACGACTTTACCGTTAAATAAAAAAAAAGCGCTGTTCACACAGGCGAGGACATTATGGAATCTTTCCGGAAAAGAGCATTCATACATCCATTCCAAAATACTGGTAAATTCTGACATCATTAACCAGAAATGAGCTCTAAACGGCTGCGCTTGTATTTGTAAACATTTGACTACATCACAAACTCTGTGGATGATCAGTATTGTGAACAACTCCGATGAAAACATATAGACAAACACTTTTGCATGTCGAGATGTACATGATATGTGTGTGTGTGCTGGCGCTCATGGGCTGTTTCACGGGCACACGTATAGCTTGAAGGTAAACAAACAACGGCTTATCATAAGCATCTTATCGATAAATATTTACACGGTTGGCATTAAGATGAACATATAAACGTTATCTGACTAATTTCTAGCAGCTAAATGTGTCTGGAAAAATATTCAAAGGCTTTTATCCTCATAAGTCCAGTGCAGACTAAGGACTAATTTGAGTTCTGATGTCCATCTAAACATAATCAATGGTAGAATTACTTACCAGGCTGCCGTCCAACAGTGACCATGACACATCTCATTTCAGACTGATAGATGCTGCCTCTGTAAATAGATGATAAATAAAAAATCACTTCACTTGCAATGCTGTTAGCTGCTAGATTTCAATTATAACACATAGCTAACCCACCCGCTCATGCTCTCAGCAATGAAACACACAGGGAAATGATCTCCGAGTTCTTCCCTCTTTGGTGTCCATCTAATAGCGTACTCTCCTGTGCTCAGTGCATGCTTGGTTATCTTCAGAGGACCGCTGATAATCACATCAGTAACCCTGGGAATTAAAAAGCATGGGTCATTAAATAATAGAAATAATAATAATAATAATAATAATCATCATCATAATAATAATCATAATAATAATAATACATTTTTATATAGTGCCTTTAAACCATTAATTCTCAAAGCACATTCTTAAACAGTTTCGAGTAACAATAAAATTAAAACATTTTAAATGGATAAAACATTCAAATATCTAGAGTCATAAAACAACATGAAAACAGGTTTAAGGGTTAGTTTACCCAAAAATGAAAGTTCTGTCAATAACTAATCACCCTCAATTTGTTCCGAATGAGTTCATCTTCAGAACTTATCTGACAATATTTTAGATGAAATCTGAGAGCTCTCTTAGCCTCCATAGACAGCAATGGTTCAGACTCGTTCAAAGTTCAGATAAGTATACCATGAATCTCATAGACAGTTTATGTGTCTTCATTTGTTTAATCGGAATATTATGAAGCTACAAGAATACTTTTGTGCGCACATTAAAAAAAAGTAATGACTTTATTACACATTTTTTTTGTTTTAAGTGTCAATATAGGATGTATGTTCATTGGCGCTGTGCACTGAAGCATACCTCGCGTGCCCATGCTGTTTTCTCAACTTTTTTTGCCTTCACTTTGTCAATTGGTGAAGTTTGTTTGCCAGTTGTTTGGTTGCCACTGGCTTGCTTGATTTGGGATGTGTGGAGCTACGCATCTTTGGATTTGCTCTTCAGTGTTTTGGCGTCTCATCAGTGACATACATTTCACTGAACTGAACTTCAACTCTGAAAACTTCATCCATGTTAAGCTGCTTTGATCAGCCAATGTTATCACTCAATTGAATAGGTGTTATCAGCGGATATAAGCTAATAGAAATGGACCAGTAGGGGCCTTCTCCACCTATAGTACTGGTAGGCTCAGAAGGCTGTTGTCATCTATCCACATGGTTAATCAGCTGTAGATCACATATGGCTGAGGCCGGAAGTTAACAAGAATTATTTATATTAGTCATTAAATTTCCTATTAATTTTATTTTAATAACGTCTACCCCAACCCTAAACTCTAACGTCACAGCAATGGAAAAACAGATCTGCGTCTGGGCCCTTTTCTATTAGTATAGCTGATTATCCATGTGGATGTATGTTAACAACCTTCTGAGCCTACCAGTAGGCGCAGAAGGCACCTACTGGTCCATATCTATCAGCTGATAACCACTGATAACGCTCATTCAATCAAGTGGTAACATTCAAAGTGGGTTCTTTGTCACTAGCACCTTTCACACAGTGATATCGGTAAATATTCTGAAAATTTACGGAATGACTTTACCAGTAAATTCATAAAAAAGGTGTTCACATTGGCACGGATGTTCCGGAATTTTTCCGGAATAGACCATTCACACATCCATTCCAAAATACAGGCAAATTCTGACATCATTAACCAGAAATGAGCTATAAACGGCTGCGCTTGTGTTTGTAAACATAGAAGAGGTCGGCCTTTTTTTAATGGTTTCACTTTTATTTAAAGCTTGTACTTAAAGTTGTATTTAAATGCGAGACATCCAAAGGCAGAAACGCAAACCGCAGCTAAATGTTTACACACTTGACTACATTACAAATTATGTGGCTGGATAAGTATTTTGATCAATTTATATGAAAACATATGGAGGAACACTTTCAGATGTTGAGATGTACATGATATGTGTGCGTGCTGGCGGTCACCGGCTCCTTCACATGCACACGTGTCAAGCAGAGCTTGAAGGTAAACAAACAGTTGCTTACCATAAGCATTTTATTGTTCATTTTTTTACACAGTTGGCATTAAGGAGGAACATAGAAACATAATCTGACTAACATCTAGCAGCTAAATATGTCTAGAAAAAATTCAAAGGCTTTTATTTTCATATACCGCACAAATGTGAATAAGTCTGACTGTTCTGATTGACTAAAATAGACGTCTCGCATCAGCGTGTTCTAGACATGAACCCGCTTTTTCCGGCAATCTTCCTTCTGCGTTCACACAGAGCAGCATTCTGGCAAATTGCCGGTAATGTTACAACTTCTTTTTCCAAAATATTGCTGGAACGAATTTACCGGTATTTTCAAAAAGGGTCTGTTCACACATACAGATCTTTCTGGAAAGTTGCGGGTAATTTTCTGGAGAGGTCTGTATGTGTGAAAGGGGCTTTGATCTACATTGTAAAAGCACTATAGAAGTAAAGTTGAACAAAGAACAGGTGCATTCAAGATTTACATCAGCAGTGTGACCAATGAGACATGCATAAAGAGGACATCGCTCTCCCTATACTGACACTTAGGAGAAGAAACTGTTAATGTCTTTATTTTTGCATTGAGGATGTTTTTTAGTATTTTTCTGGCCAGAACCATTGCTGTCTTTAGAGGATGAGAGAACTCTCTGATTAAACCTAAAATATCTTAGTTTGTGTTGCAAAGATGAAGGCCTCAGGAGATTGGAACGACATGAGGGTGAGTAATTAATGGCTTCATTTAAATTTTGGGGTGAACTAACTCTTTAAGTGATTATTATCAGTTATTCAAACACGAGCCCTCACGTTGCATACGCCGCTACAGCTTTAACTCTGATTTCCAGTTCATGGAGTGGTGCAGCTTGGATTTCTTCTCCGTGATTTGGAGTTGGTGACACAAAGCGAGGAATGTAATGTCCTTCAGTGCAGGATGGAGCAGCTGAATCGACTGCAATGACACAAATTAGCATAGATGATAACACTGATGTGATGTTTAGTTAAGGCCCCGGTATACTTCAAATGAAGTTCTTTCTTTTTTTTGAGGACAAAAATAATTTTAAAGAGACTTTGTCACAGTTTCTGTTTTTGAACTTTCCGAAACCCTCTCGCTGTAGTAGATGGGGCTGTAAATGTCACAGTGCTCACATGTACCCGTAAACACAACAGTGCTGGCTGTGAAAGAACAGTTTCATAAAGATCTGACAAACAGCCGAGACAGCATCAGACAAAAAGAGCCATTGTGGCACGTCTTTACATTGTTTTCTATTTGGAGCTAACAGGCACTGAATGGAGCAATGTTTAAAATTTTGCAAAATGGTCATGACGACCCTCTCTGAGTCTTAAAAATCTCTTCACAGCCAATTGTTCAGGTGCAGATACATCTGTAACAGCTCTGCTTGACTCTCAAGTTTGTTCATGTTGCTAACTTGGATGTTGTTCTCCTGTCTGACCTCTGGATATAAGTAGGGCTGGGCGAAATGGGCAAAAAAATCAAATCTCTGTATTTTTAGGAGGAATACGGTAAACAAAATATATCCGGTATTTTCCCATAAATGGTTATTTGAGAGTTAAAGCCTTTATTAAAACTTTATTGAACAGTTTTTGAGAAAAATATAATTCAAACACAGGAGTTTGCCTCCCTGTTATCATCATCATTAAAATGATCATTCTTATATTGTTATTTGTTGAAAGAGTAGATAACAGCGAGATATTAAAATAGAAAATTAAATGTTTGGTAGACAAATGCATGTTTTTTTTTTCCTTTTTTTGTTTTAATAATTGTTGAAATCATCAAATGATTGTGCTCTAGGCATACACACAAATCAAACCACGTCTTCCATTTAAGGGACTAAAATAAATAAATCAAATAAACAGAATAAATAAATACAAAGATTAGAATAAAATTAAAAATTAAAGTCAAAATGCAATAACAGACCAGAACGCAGCGCTAAATGTGTTATATTGTAAATGTAAAGAAGAGACTGTTGTGTAATAAATACTAAACTTATATTCAGTGAATTTGAGGTGGTTTCACTTTGAAAATGCAGTATAAAGTCATCCCATTTTTGGCGTTTTTAATTCTTTTAAACACATTAAAGTACTGCTTGTCAATCTGACAAGGCTTCTATGTTCATTCTTGCTGTTAATTGCGGAAGAAATGATCGATAAATGGTTTCTGATAAACCGCTGTGACAGCTGTAGGTGCTGTTTGACGTGCATACACACGAGGGGGATTTTGAACACCAACACTGCATGCTCCTCCGTGTCGCATGTAGTGATGGGTTGTTCATTTTTAACAAATGTTTTGTTTGACAGGGAGTGAATCATTCATTCGCGCATTCATTGATTTGTGCAAGTGGAGCTCGCGTGCTACCTTGGAGTGGTCTGGTGCATGCAGAATGCGTTCGTGTGGCCTCAAACCATATCGATATGAAAGATATTGGATAGTCTTGCATCGCGTTGGGGAAACAGATCAATATATCTCCAGAAATCGATATACCTCCCAGCCCTAGATACGAGATAAAAACTAATCTCACATGGGAGAAGTCGGAGTTCTAGAACACAACTACCGATTTGAATAATCACCACTCACCAATGCCATCTCAAAGGTGTTCAAGAGCCAAATTTGCGGGAGCTACCACAAATACGCTAACCTGATTTCACCAAATAGGACATGTTCCTAGATTAACATCTATGTTGATCATGGAAAAATAATGTTTCAGGGTCAACATAGATGTTAATCCAGGATCGCATCGTACTTGGCAAAATCATGACGTGCACCATGAATATGCGGGAGACTACCGGAGCTACTGGGAAAGGGGGGATGTCTGGTTTTGGTGAAGAATTTCAAAATGAAAACTCAAAAACAAACTCAAAAGAACTTTCTATTAGCCAGATTTTGTTTGTGTATTTTTTTTTACCATTTGAAATATTACCTTTAGTCACTGAGAGACCTTACCAAGAACAGTAAACTGCAGAGGGATCCTGCTGAAAGGTTCATAAATGCGCTCATATGAACCCATGGAGGTCTTGTACTGTTTAGGTGGGCTTGTTGTGGTAGTTGTGCTTGTGGTCTTCAGCCACTGCCACCATTGAGGTGCCGTAGGTTCTAAGACAGTTGACGATTCTTGTTTCCTCCACCGCCATGGTGTAGTTTTAGGTTGTTCAGTGGTTGTTTGTAGTAGTTGTTGTTGTTGCCACCACCACAACCAGGGTGAATCAGTAGTTGTAGTAGATTTTTGCTGTTGCCCCAACCACCATGTTGCAGTTTTAGGTTGTTCAGTGGTTGTTTGTTGTTGTTGCCACCACCACAACCAGGGTGAAGGAGTAGCTGTTGTAGATTGTTGTTGTTTTCCCCACCACCATGGTGTCATTATAGGTTGATTAGTGGTTGTTTGTTGTTGTTGTTGTTGTTGCCACCACCACAACCAGGGTGAAGCAGTAGCTGTTGTAGATTGTTGTTGTTTTCCCCACCACCATGGTGTCATTATAGGTTGATCAGTGGTTGTTTGTTGTTGTTGTTGTTGTTGTTGCCACCACCACAACCAGGGTGAAGCAGTAGTTGTAGCTTGTTGTTGTTTCCCCCACCACCATGCTGTAATTTGTGGTTGTTCAGTGGTTGTTTGTTGTTGCCACCACCACCAGGGTAATGCCGTAGTTGTAGTAGATTTTTGCTGTTGCCCCCACCACCATGCTGCAGTCGATGCTGTAGTTTTTGGTTGTTCGGTGGTTGTTTGCTGTTGTTGTGGTTGCCCCCACCACCACAACCAGGGTGAAGCAGTAGTTGTAGATTGTTTACCCCACCACCATGCTGTAGTTGTAGGTTGTTCAGTGGTTGTTTGTTGTTGTTGTTGCCCCCACCACCACAACCAGGGTGAAGCAGTAGTTGTAGCTTGTTGTTGTTTCCCCCACCACCATGCTGTAATTTGTGGTTGTTCAGTGGTTGTTTGTTGTTGCCACCACCACCAGGGAGATGCAGTAGTTGTAGTAGATTTTTGCTGTTGCCCCCACCACCATGCTGCAGTCCATGCTGTAGTTTTTGGTTTTTCGGTGGTTGTTTGTTGTTGTTGTGGTTGCCCCCACCACCACAACCAGGGTGAAGCAGTAGTTGTAGAATGTTTATCCCACCACCATGCTGTAGTTGTAGGTTGTTCGGTGGTTGTTTGTTGTTGTTGTTGTTGTTGTTGTTGTTGTTGTTGCTGCCACCACCACCACAATGGAGAAGCAATCGTTGTTGTAGATTGTTGATTTTTCCCCCAGCCCCTTGTTGTTGCTGTAGTTGGTTTGGCGAATGCTTCTTCCCACCATGGTTCAATTACTGAAGTATTATAGATTTGGATTCCTGTCAAAATTGACCTTCGGAATTTTCCACTACTCAGAGCGCGTCTGTAAGAGCTGGAGCCATCGGTGTAAGACAGAGTGGTGTGTTTCTTTGGGTAGTCCTCCACAACAAGCTCAATTCCGTAGACGCCTGTGCTGTAGGTATAGCTGTAGTCTAGTGTGCAGGCATCCTAGCGAACAATTGAGATTAGGATTTAGTTTTATTTTTAGTTCTTCCACAGTTCTATTTACACTCATAGGTTGGCCATTATTTTTATGATAGCAAAACACACACCACACAAGGAATATTGAGTTCTGTAATTGCTTTTCAGTGCGTATTTTATTAGTTTTTAAAGCAGGGAGGAAAATAACCCAAGGCTTTTTGTCAGTAATGTGTGTACATGTAAAAAAACAAACAAACAAAATAACTGATTAAATTAAACTAATGTAGACTTTAGCATTTATATATTCCTGCTTTCTGATTACTTAATCTTCTTACTTGATCGATCTGGAAACCTCTTGGCTGGTCACATCTGTCACATTCAACATTGCGCATAGCTCCGTATCTGCATTTGACCTGGTCACCATCTGGATCAAAGGCTATCAGACGGTATTTACGAGGACAGTTTTGGGGTACGCTGTGAAAATGTGAGGGGGGAAAAAAACAAGATTACATTTTCATCATAATTTCTTAATTAGAGGCTGAAGTTTAAACAGTTAACCATTGCTCATGCATTCTCATTAGTTTAATAAATGTTTATAGCAGTTTTAAAGGAACCCTCCAGCTTATTTTTTTTAAATAGACTAAATTTACAGTTGTGTTTTACCAGTTCTGCATCAATTCAGCTGATCTCCGAGTTTGGTGGAAACACTTTTAGCTTAGCTTAGCATAAATCATTCAATCAGGTTAGACCATTAGTAACTCACTCAAAAAAAAAACAACTGAAGAACAAATTTTTTATAATTTTTGATTTTTAAAACTGAACAATTATGCCAGAATGAGAGTATAGTTCCTAGCTATATCGGCCTAGAAAATAGCAAACACATAATGTAATCGCAAAACACTTTTATCTTGGCTTACATAAATCATTAAATCAGATTTGAACATGTTTCCAAGAGATGGGTTGCGGCTGGGAGGGCATGCACTGCATTAAAATCTGCTGAATAAGTTGGCGGTTCATTCTGCTGTGGCGACCCCAGATTAATAAAGAGACTAAGCCGAAAAGAAAAAGAATAAATGAATGATATTTGACCATTAGCACCTTGCTCCAAAAAAATGAAGAACAAATTTTGATCTTATTATTTTTTAAATTGAACTATTACGAATGAGATTATAGTTTGTAGCCATACCGGCCAAGAAAATAGCAAATACATGATGTAATCACAGAAGAATCTAACGAAAAATAATAAAGTTATCAACTTTTTCTTGACTTTTTTTTTTAGATGCTAATGATCTAATCAGTTTCAATGACCTATGCTAAGCTAAGTAAAAAGTGCTCCCGCAAAACCCAGAGATATTCTGAATTCATTCAAATTTGGTTAAACTCAGCTGTTTAACTCTATGTGACTTGAAAAATGAGCCTATTTGCAAAAAAAGCAAAGTGATTACTGCATGTAGGTTACCGTAGAAAGTGTAAAGTAGTAGTGACGGGTGATTGGTTGGGTTGATTGGTATCAGATCTTATGCCTAGATCCACATGTGTTTGGAAGAACCAGCCTTTGAGATTGTTCACCGTGGGCACCCAGCAGCATGAGTTTTGCCTGAGATAGATATGATATAGTAGATTAGATAATGAACATTACTATTTTATTGCAAATTAATTCAAGTTACTCACTGCAGCTCAAAGGGTGTGTTTTCATAGATGTTCCTTATGACAACAGTTTCCGTTTGGCACCAGTTGTTGGTAAAACTACTCCTGCCGTTGGAACTTTTATCGATTTCTCCATATTCACTGCTGTCTTCATAGACACAATTCCCAGGATTGGTGCAGGACCACCAACTAGAATCGCACCAGTCATTGGTTCGCTTGAATCGAAACTCAACCTGGTGGTAGAGTTAAAACATTCCATTGGCCATTTTTATAGTTTGATGCATTGTAGACCAGCCAAAAACTCAACCCAGGCTCATTCTGAAAAACATACCACTATATACGTTACTGGAGAGCAGGCACGTGCACACATAGGGCTCAACCTGTGCAGTGCACATGCCCTTTTTGGTCTTGGATATAAAGTGCCCTTCCAATTGATCAAAAGAGCCCCTGCGACGCGACACACCCTCCGTCCCGCCCTTCAGTAGGCGCGCGACAACACCACTCTTGAGTATGCGCTAAACCCAGCCCCTCCCCCCGCTTTACAGTACGCGCGCGACAACACAGCTGAGCAGAACGCGCGCGACAACACCACTCTTCAGTACGCGCGCGACAACAACAACAACAACAAAAACTCTCTTCAAAAAATGTATCCTGCACATGCCCTTTGGACGGTCTCTGCACGGGCCTGCTGGAGAGCAGCAAATACACTCAGGAGCTACATTATTTTGCAGTTTTTGTTTTTGCCAATCTACTAGACGCCGCTGTGTACACTTTTTCAGATCTCAAACTTGCCATTCGCGCCTGCTGTTCTTGCATAAATCCGATGTCAACTGACAGTCGACTGCCTGTATGACTTATTTTATTTTTTGGTTTCTGTTTTTGTCTTACCTGCTTTTTGAAACCATTCCTTGCCGTAATCGTATCTGTCGTGGTCAGCTCTTCTCTGTGTCTCAAGTCCGCCAACGTACATGACAAGCTAACTGGACAAACTGTTAACAGCGGAAAAGCCGCCCACACTGAGGTAAGCGGTCAGCTGGTAAGCGCAAAAAGGAACAGCGTCACACCGCCCCGTAGTATTTGATTTAAAGACAAAATGCAGCCATACGTACTTCTAGCTACATCATTTGCGATCTCCAGCAACGTATATAGGGCTACGTTTTCAGAATGAGCCTGTTACAACAACTGCAGGATTCTGTCTTTAAAAAATGTTGTCAAATCTTAATACATCTGCCTTATAAATTAAATTTAATATCTATAGAATTTATTGAGAGATCTCTTTGTTTAGAATTTCAGAGAATATGGTGGAAATATTATGCAAAAATCAATTATAAAGTGGTTTTTAACACAGTTGTGTGGCAACAGTGATTGAATATATCCAGCATTTAATGGTTAAAATTAATTAGTTTCATTTTTTTATAATCACACTTCATAAAAAACTGTCTGCAGAAACACTTTGTTATATATATATTGAATGCATTTACTGTAGTAATTACAGTTAATTATGAGTAATTACATACGAATAACCGTAAACCTAACCTCCATTGTAACCCTAACAATATAGTAACGCAGTTACGTTTTTTCTAACCTTACTTAGTTGTTAAATGAATAGTTAGAAATACACCTTAAAATATAGTGACCAAAAATACTCTTGATTTTTAAATATTACATATTATTATATTACATATATTGCTTCTTTTTCATGTAATAATAAAATTCATTTCTTTTAAATTTATTTAGTAATTCACATAATTTACATTAAAACAAGAAGTAAAATAAAATTAGGAGATTTATTAACATTTATTTATACATACTGAATTATTTTTTACGATAAAATAAGGAGATTTATTGTCATGAATAATTTATTGTGTTTGGTAACTTGAAAAGTAATTCTATAGTTAGTATGCATGAAGTTAGTTAGTGTTGAGTTTAAAAAATGATTTATAAAATAGCTGATAATTAATAAAAAAAAAATTATATAAAAATACACAGTTGAAATAAGAATATTAGCCCTCCTGAATTATTAGCCCCCTGTATATTTTCCCCCAATTTCAATTTCAAGTTTAATGGAGAAAAGATTTTTTCAACACATTTTTAAACATAATAGTTTTAACAACTTATTTCTAATAACTGATTTAATTTATCTTTGCCATGATGTGATTACGTAATTACGTAATATCAAGATACTAGTATTCAGCTTAAAGTGATATTTAAATCACTTATAGGTTAATTAGGTTAATTACGCAACTTAGGGTAATTAGGCAAATCATTGTATAATGATGGTTTGTTCTGTAGACAATGGGAAAAAATGCTTAAGGGGGCTAATAATATTGTCTTTAAAATGGCGTTTTAAAATAACAAATGCTTTTATTCTAGCCAAAATAAAACAAATAAGACTTTCTCCTGAAGAAAAAATATTATAGGAAATTCTTTGCTCTGTTAAAATATAAAAAATAAAAATATAAAATACATAGGAGGGCTAATAATTGTGCCTTTAACTGTATATTGAGTTATTAAAATTGTTAATAAATAATTATAAAATTATTATAATAATATAAATGATAAAACAATCATTGCAAACATTTAAAAATTAAATAAATGAATAAATAAAAAGTTGTATAAATATGTGTTAAGTTTATGAGTCTTAATGCACAAATAAATAGTAATAGTTCTCACCCTCATGCTCCCGTCTGCATTGGCTCCTTTAGGACTGAAGGTGACCGAGCCTCCATAATGTTGTCCTGCCGCAGCAAAACACACGAGAAGCAGGAGATTCAGTAGCAGTGCTGAGAACATCATGGTACCCGAGTCTGAGCTCAATGCATCTGCGCGACTCCTTTTATACAGTACATCTCAGGTAAGCAGGAATTAAGGGATTGGTTTATAGGTGTTTTGTGTGCTACATACTGTATGTCCATTGTATTACTAAAAAAGTACTGGGCAGTTACTTGTTTCTGAGAAGTCACATGGTCAAAATCTGAAGCTACACATTAATCTTGCTTTATCAAAACAATGTCAATGCTCTGTTCAAAACTGAAGTGTAAAATGGCAGATTTGCTTTCTGTTTTGCATCTAGCACATAACACCAGTAGCAAAAATGCACTGAAAATTAAGGATTTTTCTTGTCTTATAGTGTGTGCATATATACAGTTAACGGTAAATATTAGCCCTTCTGTTTAGTTGTAATTATTTTTCAAATATTTTCCATTTTTTTTAACGGAAGAAGACTTTTTCAATTCATTTTAAACATAATAGTTTTAAAACTACTTTCTAAAAGCTAAATTATTCTGTCTTTGCCATGATGAGGGTGCATATTTAATTAGTAATTTTGCAAGACATTATTATTCAGCTTAAAGTGCAAATGCTTTACTAGAATAATTAGTTTACCTGGGCATTTTAGGATAATTAGAACAAGTCATTGGATAATAGTACTTTGTTATGTAATCATTTGAAAAAAACAACAAGCCAGGCTTATTCTGGTTACATTCCCCATATAGATTTCTGTAGAGTGCCAAATATGTCCTAGGAGCTACATTTTATTTTTACCGTTTTTCTTTTCACGAATCTGCCAGAGGCCGCTGTAAACGCTTTTTCAGATCTCAAATTTCACACGCGAGTGCCTGTTGTTCTCACGTAAATCCACCAGAGGCCGCTGTTGACTGACTGACTGAACGATCGACTGACCTACCCTCCTCCTTTACTAAACCCAAATAGACAGTGTTTTCATAAGCAATCCAGAAAAAGAAAAGCCCTTACCTGATTTTACCACGTTTTCAGATTTTACCACATTCTCACCCTGTTATTTACTTCTTTATTTTATTTTTTGGTTTTTGTCTTACCTGCTTTCTGGAACCGTTCTTTCCGGGACTCGTACTCCGTCATCACGTTTAACTCCGATCCACATCACAAGTCCGCCGACGTATGCCTTGAGCCGCTTGGCAAATTGGTAACAGTGGAAAAGCCTTTCACAGCAAGGTAAGCGGTCAGCTAGTAGCGTGAAAAGAAACAGCGTCACACCGCCTCGTGGCAATCGTTTTAAAGATGAAATGTACCTCTGGCTACATACAGTGCTCAGCATATACAATACACCCCTCACAAATCTATCTTTTAAACTCATATTTGAAATAGGAAGCTCTACAATATTAGTACATCAGTACTGAAGCCAAATCTGCAGCTTATCTAATAAAATAACTTACGATAACGGCCCAAAAACTAGTACACCCAAATTAATATGTTCTAGAAAAACTAAAACACAAACGTTACAAAGAGGAAAATTCAAGAGAAGCAAAATAACAAAAAAATTGAGTTGAAATTTTGTAGTTTATCTTTGCAGTATTTTGCTTGAATTTAATTGTATTTTCTTTAAATTTCTAAAAATGTTTGGTGACTAAAATATCATTTAATAAATATATCTGTTTAATAAATCTGTTTTGTTCAAATGCACCAAAATACATTATATTACTGAGAAATGGATAAAAATATTCACTTTCAAAATGGGGTGTACACAATTATGCACTGTAATTCGCGATCTCTAGAAATATAGTGCAAGGTTTCAGAATGAACCTATGTTGCTGAAAAATCTTAATGGGGCTTATAATATTGACCTTAAATGTCTTTATTCCAGCCAGACTAAAAGAAACAAGACTTTCTTCAGAATAAAAAATATTGGAAATACTTTGAAAATGTCCTTGCTCTGTTGAACATAATAAGGAAAATATTTGGAAAATAATGCAAATTTTACATGAGGGCTAATAATTTTGCACTCAACTGTATATATGCAGTTTGTTAAATGTTTTAGCCCCATTCTTATTTTGTCTTGTATAACAATGACCTGGCATAAGATTAATATCTATCTAGACAATACATCTTTGTGTCTTTAGATTCCACCTGCCGTACCCAACATCTCAAATCTCTAAGATGGATTTCTGAGGACTTTACTCTTTAAAAGGTGCGTTTGTATATAGAGCTGGGTTAATCTCTGAATGATATTTCAAAAATACAGCTTGAGCGGGAGAATGTGTGTTTCATAATATAATAGATGGATGTGTCGGAAAATGATGATGATGGATGAATAGGAAAAGAAAAGAATGGGAATGTTAATCAGGTAAAACCTGTAATTGAAACATTTCATCAAAGGATTCTTTCACTATCGATTACACTGAAAATAAGCAGCTTTATTTAGATATTTTTAGAGAAAGAAATTATTTAGATGTGAAAAGTGGACAGCATGGATCAGATTGTCACTGTAATACAACATCTAATGCAAAATTCTATAGACCATAATGATGGCTGTAAACAAAAACAATGGTCCCAGCATATTTCCTGTTTTACATTTTTAATTTCTACAGCTTCTGAGCCACATATTGATACATAATGTTATGATAGCTGTTTAAACATTAAGTTATGATTGAATTGCCTCTTGTTACAGTAATGAAATATTATGAAAACAAGCAGGAAATGTTCACAGGCCGATGGCATCACCACATTGAAATGGTCTATACCAGGGGTGTCCAAACTTGGTCCTGAAGGGCCGGTGTCCTGGAGAGTTTAGCTCCAACCCTAATTAAACACAACTGAACCAGCTAATCAAGCTCTTACTAGATATGCTAGTAACTTCCTAGCAGGTGTTGAAGCAAGTTGGAGCTAAACTCAGCAGGGCACCGACCCTCCAGGACAGTGTTTGGACACCCCTGGTCGATTCTTTCTCACTTTAATTTGAACATATTCTGCTTTATTTTCAGTGACTTTTGAATTATTTTTGCCAAAATAATTGACACGATATGCACATATATTTTATTTTTTTGTTTAACTAATTTTACTAATCTCACAATTACTGACACTGTAAAAAAATGATAAATTAGTCCTGACATTATATGTTTTAGGAAACTTAAGCTAAGCTAATCATGTTCTAACTTAATTTTTATTTTGTTTTAAGTCAGTTTAATATAATAAAGTTCAAATGACTCGTGAGGTTAATTTGATTCAGCTTAACATTTTAAGGCAACTGGTGTTTTTTACAGTGTATACCTGTTCATCTTTTTTTTTTTATATGTATTTTACTGAACGTTTCAAGAACAAGCACAGAGAAACACAAACACTCAGCACTGTGCCGGACAAGTCACATATAATAAGTCAATGAGCAAAGCAACAAGAACAACTAAGTTTAGCAGGTGACAAGAAAAAATAAACAAATATAGAAAATAAAAATAAAGAAATACATTTTAAAAATAAATGAAGTCTCTGAAGAATCCAGAGGTTGAGTGGCTGGTTTGTTCATCCAGATTTTCAAGAAATAAACCCCAGACACTAAAGACTTTTTCAATGGAATCTCAGCCTTTCTATCTGTGTCATGTCCGCAATCCACATTTAAATCAAAATTTAACTTGCAAATTTTATTGAAATCAGTATTATTTAAAAACCACTAAATAAAGTCAAATGTATAGCATTTTAGAAATAATTGTAGCTATTTAAGTTAACCTTTGCAGGTTACATTCATTCAAAAAGCAGACCACATGTATTCTGTCAACAAATCTGAACACACACTAATCTCCCATCATGTTAAATCACATGGATCTTGCTAGAATTAAATATAGGTGTACTTTTTTGTGCTTATGACAGAAGACTGATGATCTGCTTTATATTATTAGAAACTGATGAATGTATCGGACATGTTTGACTAATGCTCGAAGACTGGCAATACATTAGACATCATAATGAAAAGAAAACATGTCCTCTGTCCTGCCCAACCTTTCAGACAATATATCTATTGTGTTTTGCTCTTTTTGATTTAGTTTTACTTTAGATACTTGCCTGCTCAGACTCAGCGTTGTTTATCACTTGTGTTTTCTTTGTTTGTTTGTTTGTTTGTTTATGTCAATCTTTGCATTCAGTCTTCGAAAATAAATATAATATATAAAATAATAAATAATTAAATAAAATTTATAATATATTATGATAAAATAATATAAACACAATTTGGATTTTATAAAAAAAGTTTAAAATATATTTAATATTATAACATTGTATTCTCCAGTGAAATTTAAGCTTATTTGTAAAATCAACACTTGTATGACTTGAAAATGTAATAAATCATGTGAGAAAAAAAAAAAAAAAAAAAAAAAATATATATATATATATATATATATATATATATATATATATATATATAATTGCTAGTTGTTATAAATGCATTAATAATGTCTACCAAATATTACTTTATTAACTCTACTTCTGAAAAGAAAAGTAAAAAAAAGACATGCTGAATTTATTTTCATAAATATTACATTGGTATTTATGATGTATGGATATTAACTGTTTTGGATCATTTTAAATTATGCACAAATTGAGTGTTTTTTCTTTACTTAGTTTGTATTTGAAACTTTTTGATGGAATAACATATTATTCCTAATGGTTTTCAGACTAGCCATTTAAAATGTTAGATAATTTGCAAACACAGTTGTTAATGTTTGTTGTACTATGAATTATTATCCATTAATTAATTTATTATCCATTTATGATTTAATGCTTGTGGTCTTCCACATGAGGATTCATGATGATATTTATTGTTGGCCCAGCATTAAACATATGTATTATTTTTTTAAGTTACTGATTTGGACAGAGAGAGATTAATGCAAAGCTTGTGTTAAGGTTAACGCAAGATTGTTTAAAAAAGGAGACAGAAAGATGAGAATAGAAAGAAAGATAAGATATAAAATCCAACAGCGCCTTCTGGTGGCGGATGACTATTTTTCACAAACCTCCATGTCGACGGGTCCTTGAGTCCCACATAAACACGTGGACAATGATGGCAATTTGTATAGAGTTGGACTAATGACTGCATGGTTACAGAGAATGCAAAGAATTTACAGCTTCATCAATTGGCTATAATTAAACTCAATTCAATTTTGTTCTATATATTGAGCTTCAATATGTATGCCAAGTTTGATTAGAAATATCTCAATCAGTCTATAGTGATTATGGTCATTTGAGTGACCCGCTTCAATCTTTCTGAGATCCCATTGCAAAAGTGAATCAAGATGATTATTATTAATATTTACTCTGCTGAGAATCTTTCTACACTTCTGATTAAACCTGTTGATCGCTTTTTGACACCATTTGATGTGGTAATCAAATCTAAAACATGTTTCAAGCCTGGGACCTAAACATTAGCTATAAACACTTAAACCTAGTAATTAGCTAAGTTAGCTAACCTAGAAGTAGCTATGCGGTGTCTTAAAATGGCAAATCTCACTTCATTTAAAGTGTATACTGTATTTGGGACTACATAGTAACTACACTATATACTAGAATGAATAAAAAAATCCTACTTTTTTCAGTATGAATTTGCTCTGGTATAAACGTTATTCAAATAATGAGTCCCTCATCAATATAACATATGAAAAGAAAAGCATTAGTTACCAACGTAAACATTTTATATAACGTTTGAAGATGTTTATAGGGAATCCTCTGAGCCTTTTTGATAATGACAAATGAACAACACTATTGGCTGTGGTTTTAGGTCATTGTAACTGTAAAACTCAACTCAATATATTTTTGTTACCTTTTTTTTAAGTGTACCAAAAATTTAACTTTACTTTAAATTGTTTCAATTTAAATACACATATAATAATCCAAACCACTCTTCACAGAACACATTTGCTCTGAAATGTAAAAAAAATAAACAAGAAAACCACACTTTGAGCAACTATTTATAGCAGTTTTTTGTTACATTTACATTAGGTCATTTAGCAGACTGTTTTGTCCAAAACTATTTAATTTGAACAGCCATTAAGCGATTCGACCAGAAGTATTATACAAAGCAATTATTTGTACTCGGAGAATTTAGTGCAAGAGTAAGAGTTTTGAGAGAGCGAGAGTTTCTACAGGTGGTTTGTTTATCCCACTCACTTGTGTGCAGCACACTTCATAAATGCACAAGTTTTTTTTATTGATTCTAATGAGTGTGTTTTCTACACAAACCAGACTCATTCTGAAAACGTACTTATATATACATTTCTGGAGAGTGCCAAATATGTCCCTGGAGGTACTTTTTTTACAGTTTTTGTTTTTGCAAATCCACCAGAGGCCGCTGTGTATGCTTTTTGAAATCTCAAATTTCTCTTGTTAGTGCCATTTAGGGCTGCTTTTCTTGCATAATTCCACCAGCGACCGCTGTCGACTGACTGACTGACCGATCGTTTGACTCTCCTCCTCCTTCCTTAAGTCCAACCAATTGTGTTTTCAAAAACACAGATTGACCCGCCCACCAACTTCCTTGAAACCCAACCCACAGTTTTAAAAAACAATCCAGAAAATGGCCCTCGTCTGATTTTTACCACATTTTCAGATTTGACCACATATTTACCGTTATTTAATTGTTTATTTTATTATTTAGCTTTTGTTTTTGTCTGACCTGCTTCCTGTAACCGTTCTTTGCCGAACCCTGTCATCATGGTCAACTACCTTCTGTGTCTCAAGTTCACTGACGTACATGGCAAGCTACTGGACAAACTGGTAATAGCGGGAAAGCTGTCCATACCAAGGTAAGCTGATTGCTGCTAGCGCGGAAAGGAACGATGTCTTACCATCCTTAAGTGTTCTTTTTAATGACGAAATGCAGCCATACGTACTTCCGGCTACATAATTCGTGATCTCCAGAAATGTATATAGAAATACGTTTTCAGAATGAGCCTATGTTGTTTCTACAGGTGGTTTGTTAAGCCCACTTACCTGTGCGAGGCACAGTCGGAATTAATCAAATTTAGGGTTGTTGTGTGGGGTGTGGGTCTGGATGCAGACTTGCAAGGTGAGCTGCATGCAATGCTTTTTAATGCACACACCTAACCCCACCACTAACCCTATCCCCTCACACTGACATTACTAGCTCAATTGAGTGCATTTGCAGTCTCATCTTGCAAATCCAAGTCTGCATCCAGATACTATTGTATGGGGAGGTAGGGGAGAGGTTTTATTCAACCGGGGTTCAGGTGATCACAGAAAAGAATGGGTTTTTAGTTGTCGATTGAAAGATACCAGGGAATCTGCAGTCCGTGTGGGAACGGGAAGATCGTTCCACCATAATAAAATATTGTTAGCACACCAACAAGCTTATAAATTCTGTTTTCATCATAAAAAAATATTGCATTATGCTTTGGGAAAAATGCTGACACATTCAAAAGTCGTGTGATAGCAAGGGTGGATTTCTGATCCTGGATGTGTAGAGGATCACAACGCAAATCACAGCAGTAATGGCCAGCAGAGACCCAGCAACAGCAGCAAGGTTTACATTCAATCCCAGATTCACAGTCACCTCTGAAATGTAATTAAAAGTTGCAGTGGTTAACAAACTAGTTAAGGATACAATCATGTTAGTAAATATGAATGAAGTTATGCTGTCTTACGTGATGGGCTCCTCTTCAGCCGTAGGGGTCCCTGAGAGATGAAGTAACTGTCGGTCTCAATGGGGGCTTCTCTTTTGTTAATGTTGTGTGAAGGTGGGGCGACGGTGCTGTTGAGGCAGCCCTGAGAGCAGCGAGTGTTGGGAATGTCTGCCTGACATATGACAATGGAGCAGCTGATGAACACCTACAGATGAGCAGGGGGAGAGGAAGAAAACAAAAAGCCAAGAGACAATGTGAGAGTTGAGAGATGCATCACTTATTCCTTTTTAAATAGGCTCAAAGTTCCTTGATTGTAGACCTTTTTCACTTTTCTGGGTTTCTCAGTAGCGGAAGGTGTCATAGTTGGGTAGACTTAGAGCGCAGTGAATAGGAAAGTACAACAAAAAATCTTTTTACAATCCTGTTTGCTGAAATAATAATTAAAAATAAAAAAACTCCATGATGGTGTTATCAAGACTTTCAGAAAAAGGAAAAAAAATTGTGTGAGACTAATGACGGCAGACAAGACAAAACAACGTCAAATTTACAGTATTGATGCTGTTCGCTTGATCCAACAAAACAATAGCAATTTAAATGTTATTATATTGATAATATTAAATAATAATTTTATTTTGATCAGGACAATGTATGTTTCTTTTAAAGTTATTTTAACTTCCCACATGGAAAGAACCTATATGAGGATATATGCGCATATGAAACCTGTATGCAGTATTTCAGTATGATAGTATGATAATATATATGCGTATATATGCCATATATAGGCAAAATTGAGATTCATATATGAGCAAATACAGGCCATATAGGTCTCCTGTATTGCTTCTTTATATTCACATATAAGCCCTATACATGTATGTGCATATAATATAGGAAAACTGCCAATTTTATATATGTCACATATTTAAAACCTATATTAAAACAAATATGTTTATATAGGTTTTTTTTCCGTGTGTGAGTTATTTTGGTCTCAACTTTCATTTTTGCTAAACAAATTTTAACTTGGTTCAAAAAAGTAATTTTTAATGCAGTGTAATAGTTTGTACTGTGTATATTTAAAAAATGCATATTGGTGGCACCAAAAGGATCGAGGTACAGACTCCAAATTGAATGTGTTTAATGATTAGACCTTTGTTTGTGTGACAAATTTTTCAAATGTTTACCATATGGATCTAAACACTGCCATAAGCTTTAATTTCTGAAGAAGAAGTAGAATATTAAGAATATCAGCAGTCACAGTAGAACCTTGAGTGCCTGGCCACTAATCAGTTCTGTAGTTTTTACTTTTTTTTATTTATAAAAAATTGCATTTTTGTAGAGCATAAGGTTCATAAAATGTGCAGTATTGTCGTTGGACTTGAATACATAGTCTGGACTAAATGGGACTCTAACCTGGTCTTGAAACCCAGTGAATTTGAAGGCCGCCATTTCAAACTCAACGTATGGTGTGTGACTTGATAAAACCTGAACCGATTCATCCATGTTGCATCTGAAATAGGAAGAAGCACTTGATTATCACTTTGCCTCGTAACTGATAGACAATCATATTGTGTACCATTGATATGGTTAGATGTGTGAATGCTCGAATGTGTTTGTAGAATCTCACCCATTGGTGATGATGGGATAGGAGACTGGGTAAGAAGGAGTATCATAAGGCGTAGCCATACAGGACTCAAGAAACAGCTCAGTGTTTGGGACTGGATAGTCAGGCTCAATCTTCATGTAGATCATATCTCCCACATTATACTCAAGAGGGTAGGCACTTGGATCCGTCATGTTTTGGAAACTGTTAGATGGGTAAAACTCAAAGTGATAGTTCATTGTGCCAAAACTCTTATCTGAGATTCTGATTGGAGACTTGTGAATACCAAACTCCTGTCTGATGTTGTTATTTTTTTGGTACGCGCACATAATTTCAAGTTCTAGGTTTATTCTGGATGTAATGTCCTGGGGATCGGCAAATGTGGTGACTTTATTCTTAAAGATGAGTTCGTTGTCTGTCTCCTACAAAGAAACAGAAGATTTGATATAGTTTAGCTCTGGAATTTACAGGATCTGGATGTTGTTGTTAATGTTTTGTAAATGCTTCACCTCTAACGTAGTGCCACATCCATTAAGAGGTGTGCTGGCGTACACATCAGTACTGTTGGAGTAAAGCTGACAAGATGGATCTATCAGTCTCAGTTGGTCACCCCTGAGGTTTTGGATGGAAGACCTCACTATTGTGACTGACATTGAGTTTGCTGAGCAGGTTACATGTACCACAGGTCCTGAAAATAGAATTAATGGTGAATGGCATGCAAACACAATTCTTGATGTTCAAATTTAAATGACCATGCTTTTATGGAGAGAGGAATAAATCTGTACTGCATTAGAGTCATTAGAGTCTGTTTTACATACCTTCACTAATGACCTCTGCAACAATGCACCTCATCTCAGACTGGTAAATATCAGACCTTACAACAGAAAGATTGTTGTCAATAGTCATAGCATGAGGTTAAAGTGTTTACAAAACTGAAAAGAACATTGACTTTTTGAAGCATACATGTATTGTCCTTCTGCAATGAAGCAAAATGGAAAGTGTTGACCATAGTTTTCTTGAGTTGGTGTCCAGTTAATCACATATTCCCCAGTGGTAGTTTTGGTCTTTGTGCTGTTTAATGGTCCACTAATGATGACATCAATAATTCTGGATGGCGAAAACAACAACAAGAAATAAAAACCGAGAGACAAATAACATTAGTCTTTTTTTAATCCCTTTTTTATTTCTGGCACAAATGATTATTGTAGCATGCATGGAAGAACCAGGCAAGGGTAGTGTGCTAATATGCAATTCCAAGTTAAGTTGCAGTTTAGTTCAGTTTCATTTTAAACAAGCCCAAATACGCCTTTTCCCAAAATACCTTGAAAAAGATGCAACAGCCTTCACTCTGAACTCAAACTGATGATTTACACGAGTCTGCAAGAGTTCTCCATGTTGAGGTGTTGGGTAGAAGAACAGTGGCAGATATTGACCCTCAACACAAGATGGTGCTAGACTGTCAACTAAAATGCAGGAATAGTGTTAATTTAAATACACATATCAATATAATTTTGAAGCTTAGTGTACAAACCTTCCAAACATACCTTGAAGAGAAAACTGAAGAGGAATTTTGCTCAGTGGTAAAATAGTTGGTGCTTTGGATGTTATCATGGTAGTTGTAGGAGTCATTATAGGTGCTTCTGTAATGGTTGTTTGTGTTGTTGTAAGAGTTGTTTGAGTTATTGTAGGGGTTGGTGTGGGTTCAGGTGTTGTCGTGGTGCAGGTGTTGGAGAATTTATTGTGGTGGTTGTTGTGGGTTCTGGCGTTGTTGTTGGTTCAGGTGTGGGTGTTGTTGTAGGGACTATTGTGGTGGTTGTTGTGGGTTCGGGCGTTGTTGTTGGTTCAGGTGTGGGTGTTGTTGTAGGAACTATTGTGGTGGTTGTTGTGGGTTCTTGTGTTGTTGTTGGTGCAGGTGTGGGTGTTGTTGTAGGAACTATTGTGGTGGTTGTTGTGGGTTCGGGCGTTGTTGTTGGTTCAGGTGTGGGTGTTGTTGTAGGAACTATTGTGGTGGTTGTTGTGGGTTCTGGTCTTGTTGTTGGTTCAGGTGTGGGTGTTGTTGTAGGAACTATTGTGGTGGTTGTTGTGGGTTCTGGTGTTGTTGTTGGTGCAGGTGTGGGTGTTGTTGTAGGAACTATTGTGGTGGTTGTTGTGGGTTCGGGCGTTGTTGTTGGTGCAGGTGTGGGGGTTGTAGGAATTATTGTGGTGGTTGTTGTGGGTTCTGGTGTTGTTTGTGCAGGTGTAGGGGTTGTTGTAGGAACTATTGTGGTGGTTGTTGTGGGTTCGGGCGTTGTTGTAGGAACTATTGTGGTGGTTGTTGTTGGTTGGGTCGTTGTTGTTGGTGCAGGTGTGGATGTTGTTGTAGTAACTATTGTGGGGGTTGTTGTGGGTTCTGGCGTCATTGTTGGTGCAGGTGTGGATGTTGTAGGAATTATTGTGGTGGTTGTTGTGGGTTCGGTCATTGTTGTTGGTGCAGTTGTGGGTGTTGTAGGATCTGTTGTGGTTGTTGTTGTGGGTTCTGTCGTTGTTGTTGGTGCAGGTGTGGGTGTTGTTGTAGAAACTATTGTGGTGGTTGTTGTGGGTTCTGGCGTTGTTGTTGGTGCAGGTGTGGGTGTTGTTGTAGGAACTATTGTGGTAGTTGTTGTGGGTTCGGGCATTGTTGTTGGTACAGGTGTGGGGGTTGTTGTATATGCTGTTGTAGATGTTGATGGTGATGTTTCAGGTGTTGTAGACGTTGTGGGTGCAGTTGTACGTGTTGTTGTAGGTGTTGTAGTCAGTGTTGAACTTGTTGCAGGTGTTGTGGTTGGTGTTGTAGTTAGTGTGGACCTTGTTGCAGGTGTTGTGGTTGGTGTTGTTGCCAGTGTGGACCTTGTTGTAGTTGTTGTCAGTGTGAACCTTGTTATAGGTGTTGTGGTTGGTGTTGTAGTCAGTGTGGACCTTGTTGTAGGTGTTGTGGTTGGTGTTGTAGTCAGTGTGGACCTTGTTGTAGGTGTTGTGGTTGGTGTTGTAGTCAGTGTTGACCTTGTTGTGGGTGTTGTTGTAGTTGGTGTTGTAGTTATTGTGGAACTTGTTGCAGGTGTTGTTGTGGGTGTCGTTGTTTGTGTTGTTTTTGCATTGACATAGCGGCGGTTTCTGATGAAACTGATTGGAAATCTTTCCACTGAAGTTTGATCGGTGTAGGACAGAGTAATTTTGCGAATGGGGAAATCTCCAGTACCAGCTCAAATGAATAAACTCCAAGGACCGGGGTTTGTCCATATGACAGAGAGCAGTTATTCTACATTTTAAAGAAAATAAAAACTGTATGAAATAACAGAAATACCTATGTAGTAAATGCTGTTAGAAATCAGGCTTGGTGTATACTTTTGATTTGATTATTTTGAAATGATAAGATCACCTTCAAGCTCATAACATTCATTTAAAAAATCTTTATAGGAATGGATTCTTTTGCTTTATCTGTTGCTATGTTTGATCACTTCTGACGCTGATTCCCTAATTAACAATTATTTTTCCCTCTGAAATTAGTAGTCAGTGTTGCTAGATATTAACTATGCACTTTTTAAATTATGCGAATGTTTTGTTTTGTCAGGCATAAAAGTAATATAGAGATAAGTATTGTCAACAAAACGTCGGCGCAATAGCCTAGTGGTTAGTGCGCCGTCAGGGTGTCGCAAGTTCGAATCCCGGCTCGATGACATTTTCCTACCCTACCCCACCCCTGTCTCTCTCTCCCACTTCGCTTCCTGTCTAAAATCTGTCCTATCTAATAATAAAAGCAAAAAGGCCAAAAATAAATCTTAAAAAAAAAAAAAAAAGTATTGTCAACAAAACAATGAAACTCCATGCATGTTAAGTGTAGCATGAAGTATGAACATTTATGGTCCAAGTATGGAATCTTGTGGTATTCTCTATTGAATAAGTGACCAATGTTACACCTTTTAATTTGAACTTTGCCAATGTAATTCCTGTTATAGCAAAATTAATTTTAAGACTATTCAAGAGAATGTTGTGGTTGATAGCATTAAATGAAGCATTTGGGTCTCTTAACAATATAATAGAGATGCAACAACAATCAGATAATAAGAGCAAGACATCAGTAACTCAAATGCTTTAAACTGTTTTAAAACTTGTCTTGAATGCAATTTAGATATTACTTTAATTTTTATAACGAATTATTATAAATTACTTCATAATGTGATATGAATATCTAATATTCTTCACCTGATTCAAGGTAAAACCATCAGGTTGGTTGCAGATTCCACACTCATTATTTTGTTGAAGTCCAAATCTGCATCTGACCTGGTCATCATCTGGATCAAAGGCTAAAAGGTTGTACCTCCTGGGACAGTTTATAGGAACTCTGCAACATAAACAATGTGCCAATGTCATGTACATTTACAGTATATTCCTTCATCATGTTGAATGCACATGTAGAATGCAGTTTTTACCTAAGAAGTGGTAGAGTTGTAGAGATTGGGGATCTGTTAGGCACTAAAGTGTCTGATCTTACTCCAAGGTCAATGAAAGAAAAAAGATTCCAGAATCCGGAGTATGCGACTATGTCGTCAATCCAACAACAACCAGTTGTGCTGTTGAAATAAATTGGCATTTCATATTTACATTGTTTGGTTGGGATCTATATTGTAAGTGTGTGATTCTGTTATTCCACTTACGCTAACTCAAATGGGCTGTTGGTGGATAAATCCTTTGTTATGACTCCCTCAGACTGACACCAGTTGTTTCCATTGGAACTGGAATCTACTTTACCAATCACTTTACTGACCTCATTTCCACAGTCTCCAGACATGCAGGACCAGTCATTATATTGGAAACAGTCATTGTAGGCCGTCTTGTAACGAAGTTCCACCTGCAATGGTCAAAGTTTTTTAAATGACTGAAGGGAGGTCTTTAAGGTATGTGGTTGATGTTGAAAACTGCTGGTAAGAAGTGCAAGCGTATTCAAAATACTGCACTGAAAAAAAACTAATTGTGAACTCGTTGTAAATGGCGTTGCTTATCTAATCTAAGTAATTATTACTTCAGAATAGAATATATTCGCTATATTTATTAATTACTGAAATTTTGCAGAATTTGACAATTTAATAAAATAATAATACTTATAATCACTACTTATATGGATTAATCATAGGCTTAATACATACTATTCTAGTGTTTTTATTTTCTTTAAACTTGATTTTAGTGCAAAACTTTTTTAGAGTATTTCTCAAAAAATTTTATGCACATTTTGCCTTATACAGCAATAAGTGAAGTTTATTTATAAACTAATTTCAAGAGGATCATGTGCTGATTGTTAGCTGCTGGATCCGCATTATCCAATTCACAATGCACCAATCAGACGACTCCTAAACTACTACAAATACCCTGGGTTATATTCCACCGCTATATTTGTTTAGAAGAATCTCCCCTTCCACCCCTACTCCTCCTTCTTCCTAGATAGGTGACACGGTGGCCCAGTGCTTAGCACAGTTGCCTCACAGCAAGAACGTCTCTGGTTCCAGGCTTAACCAAACCAGCAGACGTTACTGTGCAGAGTTTGCACTTTCTCTCCGTGCTCACGTGGGTTTCCCCCTGGTTGCCCGGTTTCCTCCCACCATCCAAAAACATGCAACTTATGTTAATTGACTAATCCGAATCGGCACCATAGACATGCTTCTAGTAGTTATCTCTTAAGAGCAATCACTATCTGTTCATTAGTTACTACAGCAGGGGAGTTCTCGAGATCTACCTGACGTTCACGCTCAGGTCTCACGCTTATGCACTGCTTCTGCGTGCGGTATGAAAGCTCTAATCTGTTTACATGGACGCCGAAAAAACATGCCCTGCTCATGCTCTGCTCACGTTCTGCTTACGCTTGCGATGTGAAACAGGCTTAAGTCAGTATCCTATCTATGCCTTCAGTCAGAAGTTTATCTCTCCATAGCAATCACTATAATCAGTCATAAGCCATAAGTAAACCAGGGAAGTTCTAGAAACCTCAAACTCCCCTCTTGCCCTTCAAATGAGAGGGAGCCCCGGGTTTGAGGATCCTGCGAGCTCAGGGCTCTCTCCCAGGACAGCATGCCAAACAAGCTTATAATCAATCATCAGCAGTGTGAGCTCTTGAAAAATGATGAATGGAATCTCCAAGATGTATGAAAGCTCGTTTCCACCACTGCAAGCTTATATCTTGAAATTTTGACTTTATAACTTACAATTGCAAGTTATTATCTGAAAATTCTGGCTTTATTTTTCAGAATTGCAAGTATATTGTCACTTTATAAAATGCTGTTTGAAATCTCACAATTCTAAAAAGAAATTCTGAGAAATTGCAAAGCATCTTAAAAATAAACTTATAAAAAATAAACTTAAAAAAAGTATTGTTCCATGCAAGGAATGGGCTTCAATTAAATGTAATTAAATTAATTTGCTTAATTGATTCAAATGCTTTTATTGTAGAAGAAATTCTTTGATGTAGAAACAAAAGCAAATCGTGTGATTCGTATAACTGGATTAACCAGTAGAGCAGTCTTATTTAACCCATGTGTACTGAAATTGACTTTCATTTTGTGTTCGAGATGAAAACATCCACTGAATTAAACTGCTGTAAAAATGCATCAAATAAATATTTTTTCACATTAATCTGTTAATCAACCTCAGCCCTGATCAAAACTACTAAATTGTTTAAAAAATTACAGAATTTTACCTCTTTA